CTAAGGAAATCTGTTTCACTGTGCATGTGATTACCTGACTTCATTTCTGACTTCTGTTGTCCCTGGTGGAGTACAGGGATGCCTAGGTTATTTGGGCATAGAAACAGCAATGTTTGAAGTTGATTCCGATAAAGTAAGGCAGTTTGTCTGTTCAGCAGTACAGACACTTGCAGGGATATGGGATCTACTCTCTTCTGTTTTAAATCAATTTCATAGTCTTGAGGCTTATTATTTAAGGTGTCCCCAGATCCAGGATTTCTTAAGGGTTGGCTAATACTCTGGTGAAAGCTGATGTCAATAACAGCAGGCTTTTAGCACAACTTTTCAGTCATGATAAAACTCATAATTTAATATACATGAAAACAGTAATTTTAAAGAATTATGCAGGAACAATCAGCAATAATAACTAGAAGAATAGTTCTACAACTCTTTCATACTTTGAATAACAGTATTTCCAAGCATGTTATCTGTCACCTAATGAAAAAGTAATACTATAAGCAAGTTATGATAAGAAATTGATAAAGCAATGGAGCAATTTACATTGCATAAATTAGTGATGATTTTTTTTAAAAATCACTGTTAACATCTATCTACTAGATAACACTACTCACCACTGGAGAGGAAATTTAAATTGATATTAAAGGTGTCAAAGTATGGAGGAACTGGCAACAGAAGAGTCTGCAAATTTGAGTGGCAAGAGCAATGATTAAACTCAAACAGATCAGATTGAAATACAATTTCATAAATTCCATAGGTTGGATTCCTAATAATCCTTAGTAGTTTAATACTGACATGTTATGCTTCTTGCCCTGTGTCAGCATCTTTAACGACAGTGACATTTGAAGCAGATGTACAAATAAATCTTAAGTCTAAATAAGTGATACCTGGACTCTAAGTGAGAAGAGCTGGAATAAACATGAACTGTACGTAGAACCTGGAAGAGGACCTGCAAAATCATGTGTATGATGAAGAAAGATGACCAAAAAAAAAAGGAGAAGAATAGACAAATAATCTCATGTAATTTGTGAATTATGATAGTAAAGCTGTGAGCAAGAAGCTTGATGAATTGTCAAACTTCTGTCAACTGAAGGTGCTTGTTCAGTGTTTGAAATTGTAGATTTTCAGTATCTAAAGCATACACACAGTTGTTATTTCCAGCTTACCTAGTGAATGTTCAAATTGAAGGTCCATCAAAATATGGACAGATATCATGATGCTTTCAAAAGAGAAAGTCTTGAAAATATTAGATGTGATAAATGGAGTAACTTAGTACAAACGCTACATCTGGGTTCACCAAGTTATTGTCCAAAATAAGATAAGCTATGGCAAGACTGTTACTTCTGAACTTTTTGCATGCAGGAGGAAATGCAAAATGCCATTAGGATCTAGGAATAAACCAAAATTCTTCACTGTTCTAATGGAGAGGGCTGGTTTAGATTGTGATTCAATTAGATATAATATGCAGCAAAATTTGTATCTATTATGGGATAGCTATACTAACCTAATTTGGGAACATCTGTCTTGTAAAGGAAGCTTGAATCCAGCATATTGATTTGCACCACTTGCAATGTAAAGTTTATGTTGCATGTGTAGTCTCAGTTTGCAAGATAAAATTGTAATTGCCAACCTCCAAAAATGTCAGAGGTTCAACATAGAGAAAAGTGGGCATTGGGGTAGCAACTTGGTATACCTGTCTTTGTCTTCTCTTGCAATTTATTTTGCTCTATTTTCTTCAGGGAATCTTTTCTTCTTTCTTTTTCCTGCCTTCTTGGCCTTACGAGTAGGCTGTAAATCCTTGAAATAAGTACTTTAAAAATAGCAAAATGGTTTAGAAACAGTTATCTGGAATACATGAACATAGATAGTGCCTTACATGTTCACAATGAATCCACTGCATCATTGCAGTAAGCTCTAAAGGATCAGCTACTTGTTTTCATGACAAGTTCTTCTCACTCTTCTTAAAATAATGCATTATAATCCAGTTTATATAACATAATTTCTATTTAAGAGATGCGTAGCATGAGACCACTAAAGAACCATTCTGCTCTGCAGTCAAGAATGGATTCCTCTCCATTCAGCCTTTTAAAATGTTAGTGTTCAATTTTTATTATTAGCAGAGTGTCTCTACAGAGCCAATGCTTTAATTTGGAATATTTTAGACTAGAAACACTTCAAAAAAGGAAATTTCTACTAGTGGATCACCAGTTTCAGGGAGGATCCATCCTTTTGTTTCAAGATCAGGATCATACAGATCACAGACAGAAGTGTTAGTGCTACTTACAATTACCTGTTTGTATTACTATTTGGAGGTTTCTCCTTGAACAATTAAAACTTTATTATACTGCATCAGTAGAAATTGGAGCTTTTTATGCCAGGTGTCTACCTCTGGATAAAGGTTTTGGTTGGAGCTGGGGTTTTTTTGTTCATAGGGTTTTCATTTAAACTTAACCATCCTGGAAAATGAGGCTTAATTTGTAGGGAACTTAGACCACTTTGCCTTGTTAAGTCTTCCTGTCGTTTTGTTAAGAAGATCTAGCACTTGACTATTTTTAAAGCAAAGTCCTGTAATTTCATGGGCAAAGTGGGTGGGAGGAACCAAACAGACTAGACTAGAAGCAGACAGTACCAAAGCATTTTAACTATTGTTGAGGTCAGCTGAGCATCATGCAGCCACTCGCTCCTCTCCTTCCCCCTCCCAGCATTGGGAAGGAGAAAATAAAGCAAAAGGCTCAGGAGTTGAGATAAGGACAGGGAGAGCTGACTCACCCATTACAGTCACAGGCAAAAGACAGACTCCTTAGGGGAAGAAAAAATAACATAAATTTAATTCAGACACTAACACAACAGCGCTTAACAGACAGAATAGGACAGTGAGAAGCATTACCACATCTTGAAAACATCTTCCCCCTACCCCTCCTTTCTTCCAGGGCTCAGCTCTGCTCCTGATATCTGTACCTCCTCCCCTGCAGCAGGCAGTGAATGAGAGGGTGTGGTCAGTCCCACCACTCCTTCCCCCTCAGGGTTGGGGGAACTCCTCATATTCTTCCCCTGCTCCAGTGTGGTTCCCCTCTCACTGGAGGCAGTCCTCCACAAACTTTCTCTGATGTGAGTCCCTCCTATGGGTTGCAGTGTTTCTCAAGCTGCTCCAGCATGGGTCACCCCTGCATGTTGCAGTCCTCCCAGTGCCAAACTACAACAGCAGGGGCTGCTTCTTCCCACAGAGTCCCAGCCTTCTTTGGTCACGGTCACCTGCTCTGGTGTGGGCTCCTCCACGTTGCAGGTTGGCATCTGCTCCACCAGTGACCTCCATGGGTGGCGGGGAGGGGCCCTGCCATCTCACCATGGGATACAGGGTGGGGAGTCTCTGCACCTGTGCACCTCCTCCTTCTCCTTCCTCCTTCTTTCTTCCGCTGACCTCAGTGTTTGCACAGATCTCTTCCTCACAATTCCCACTCCTTCTCTCAGGTTCCCCTTCTTAAATACGCTATCACAGCGGCGAAGCCACCGCCACTAATTGGCTCAGCCTTGGCCAGAGGTGGGGCCAGCTTGGAGCTGGGAGAGCTTGAAGAAGCTTTTCAAGGGGGGCACTGCTGTAGCCCCCTTGCCTGCTACCAAAAACCTGCCACACACACAAACCCGTCACAACTATCAAAGTACTCATGAATCTTGTCATAGAATAGAAGTCCTGAATCTTTATAGTTTCTTCTTCTTGCAGCAAATAGCTGTACAACCCGCTGGCAGGTTCACTCTCTAATGCTCTCTCTGCAGGAGATACGAATCTGTTGTTACTATTGGTTAGTTAAAACAAGAGAGGTCTGTGCTGTGGCTCTGAAGGTCTGGGTGATTCATATTGTGGGAAAATACAATTCCATGCGGAGGGATTTCTGACTTGGCAAGTGATGTAGTTTTTATTTCTGTTCTGAGCAGCACGTTACCAAGTGCCTTACACCAAATAGATGTTAACATCTGAAATAGCAGGAAACACAGGTTACCCACCCTGGGCAGTATCAGTTCTGATTCAGTGCGTTGCCTGTTTACATTTTAAGTTTTATTTGATTTGAGTGGCTCAGACTACTTGATTTCAATTTTTAGCTTTTTCACCAAGACCTCATATTCAAAAAAACTTGAAATTGAAATCTGGTATTCATAAAACATTTTCAGTAATTTAAAAGTGTGCGTATTTCTTTGAGTACTACTACTTTTCAAGAGGCTTTTAGGTGGTACTTGAATTTTGGGCTCTAGATCATTTGATATAACACAGACACTAAGTGATTAAAAAGATCTTAATTTTAAAGGAAGCCTGTTGTCTTTGTTATCCGTTGTGAGTTGAAGAAATTTGGGATGGGGAAGCGCTTTGTTTTGGGTGGGGAGAAGGCCTGTCTGTTTCCTCACTTAAGTGAAAATGAAAATGCTAAATCTGGTGATGTTTTTCTCCCAGGACACAGATTTTGGTATTCGTGGTTGAAGCAGGCAGCTCTCCATCGTTCTGATTCTCAGTAATAAACCTTTTCCTGAAATATCAGGACTTAGGAGGTGTCTTTGCTATCTTTGGCAGTCAGACTGTTACATTTTATTTTGGGACTGAATGCCTGTGCATTAGTGTGCTTCATCATCTGGATATACGTGGGTTATTTTGTTCTTTTGTCCAGTAGTGAGAAACTAATACATAGAAGGTAACTCTTTTTTTTCCTCTCCCCCTCTCTCCTTGTGGTATTTTTAGATTAGAGAATTTGGGTTTAACAATGGTGATAGTAATAGAAACATGTAGCACTGCTTACATTATTTTAATAAGCTAAGTATGTTTTAGAAAGGACAAAGTCTAGAAAGTTACTTTTTGCCTGTTTGGGATTCTTACATGAACAAATCCAGATGAAGAACATCAGCCTTACAATATCTAATGTATGCTTAATGTTGGTATTTTGCAGTAAGCTTCTAATTAATTCTTCAATAGCCCAAATAATGTAATTTTTTAATAGTCTTTTCTTGTTGTTTTCATGCAGGTTACCATGAAAGCCAAACAACTGAAGGATTCTGTTACACATACACCAGGTGTGTGCTACTAGATCCTCACTGATGCTTACAAAAAGCACTGTATTTGGATTATAGCAATGCAAATCCAGTGCATTCTGTACCTTTTGGGGTGTGCTTTGCAGAGAGACTTTTGCAACCTTGCCTTACTCTGAGCAAAGACAAGAGCTGATGGGCATTCTGAGGGAATGTTTCCCTTTACCTACATCTCCCAGGCTTTCTTACTCAGTTTACTGTGGGTTTTGTTCATCTGTTTGTGCTGTTCTGTTCTGTTTGTTCATATCAGTGCAGTAGTTTACTAGTACTTCACATATACCATGTATGGCAAAGTTCATTGCTTGATAACAAATACCTCAATTTCTCAATAAGCATTTCCCCTAAACTCTTAATCCAGAAGAGCTTTTTCTCCTCTCTGTACTATTCTGGGCACCTTTTATTTGCAGGAAGTTCCCTGCTTGTTTGTGGTTTATTTTATATTTTGGAAGTGTAACAACAATACTTCTAACAGGTATTATTAGGCTCTCTGAACTTAAAACACTGGCCCAGAATTCCAAGAATGTCAAAGTCAACGTGAATTTGCCAGACCACATAATCACCCAGCGAGAAAGGGAGGAGGAAGAGGAAGAGGGGAACTACGATCATATCCCAGAGCAGATGGATATCCAAATAGATCAAAAGGAGACCACTGCAAGTGAAACTAGACACCGCAAACGAAAGGTTGTCAAAGCACCTGAAATGTCTCTACCAGCAACGAAAGAGGTACCAGAAGAGAAGGGCAGAGGAAGACGCCAGAAAGATTTTGATAACGCTGAGCAAGAGGAAGAGAGTGATGATGAGAGCAGAAAAAGAGAGAAAAGCCGTGTCCCAGAAGAACTGTGGATTCAAAATCAACAGAAACTTCTTGAAATGGCCTTGCAGCAGTATCCAAAGGGAACCACAGATCGCTGGGATAAAATAGCAAAATGTGTTCCTGGAAAAAGCAAGGTATACTTCGTTTTAACTATAGTATAAATTGAGGGGAGACATTTTCTACCAACTTATGATTTAGCTTAAGAACTGAGGGTCCATGCAGAAAGGTTAGGTCTCTACTTAGCCTATCAGCTGACATAAGGGACCTAGAAAGCCTTACTGCCATGTTTGTTGTTTTTATTTAAAATATATTTTCATTTAATTCAGTTTGTTTGATCTATTACAGCAAATGTTGAGATACCTCCTGTTTCATTTAAAATACCTACCTCTGCCTTTCAGATCTTCAATTACAGGACAATTAGATTTTAAAACAAATTTTGATTCAAAGTTAGTAATGTTAGTGAGCCGCTTTGCTTACACTTTTACAGTACCTTTCTCAACCCATCCCAATGAACAAACAAAATAAGTAATCCATCTTCAAGTGTTAAATGCTCAATAATCTATCTAATGTTCTTTTTGTAAGTATCTTTCTAAAATAGCATTCATTGTCATTGGTATAGTTGGTCTGTGCTAGATTTCATAGTAGTTGAGATAGCTTAGATTGCTTGCTTCAGTCATTGTAGGTGCAGAACATCCTACTTTTATTTGTGCCAAACACAGTGTGAGAGAACAGGAAACGCGGGTGGTGGATTTGAGTGTTTCTCGGGCTCTGAAGCCATTCAACAGTATCTGGTGTCAGTGTGTGCTGTGTCAGTGACCATTAAGGCTTGCCTTAACCTTTCTGCAGCGTGGCTCATACCAGAGTCACTGTGCTGAAATAGATACTGCAGTACAACTGTTTAATAATTGCCTTTACAGTCATTGTCAAGAAGTACCAGGCAACTGTTTTCTTGGATTTGTGTGCTCTTTAAAGAGAGAAATTATCCACTAAGAAACGCAAATTGCAAGTTCATTTTTGTAAACTGCTCTTCAATAGGTGCAGACTCTCCTTCTGAAATTCGGTGTGTAATTTTAAAAAGATATTAAAAAACCCAAAAAAACACCAAAACCAAAAAGATTCCCCTAAAGCCCCACACCACCCTCAGAACCTAGCTCTTCTAGAACGAGATAGCATGTATAGTCTTAAAGCCATACTAAAATATCAAACTTTAATTAACACTTTTGTGTTTCCTTTTAGGAGGAGTGTATAGCAAGATACAAGTTGCTTGTTGAACTGGTACAAAAGAAAAAAATGGCTAAAAGCTGAATATTTGAGCAGAAGAGATGTAGCTCATCTTTGTCAAAATGGGGTTTTAAATCTCATGTGCAGGAAACTGCATTTTTGTACCTCAGTATTTCTATACGTCATGTGCCTTAGTAAAAGAAAATATTAATAAATCTTATGCCATCTTATCCATTTTGTGTGTTGAAGAATGAAGGTGTATTTTTGTGTTGGAGAGCTGCTTATGCAGATGTGTGATACCAATGTCTTAAAAATTAGCGGACCTTCAGGAAAATCCACACTGACAATTACATACAGGAACTGGTAGGTCTACAGCCAAAAATATACAGAATATAAATAATTTATATTTGTTTTGAAAGAGAGAATTGATCTGAAACTGTTAAGCAAGCACAATAGTAATGGGACTCTGCACTCAAAATGTATTTTTCTTTCTTGCAGCTATAAATCCAAGACCATCTGCTTATAAGCTTGTCTGCTGGTACATGAAATGTCTAGTTGTTCTAACAATATTTTGAAATAAGTAGTATTTCTAATCTTAACTTTCACGTACATTTAGATGCACCTGCAATATGCCTTTTTTACCAACACTGCAGACTAATACACAGATATTTGATAGTGCTGTTAATTTGGTAAAGTTGAAATGGGTAAGTACATTAAAGGCCTTAAATTTTTATTTAGAAATTCAGATACATAAGGCATATACTTCATGACCAGTTTTTAAATACAGAATAGGATTTAAAAGCTAACATTACTGGGTTAAGAGTTCTCATATTTGGGGGGGGTGAGGGTGGTGTATACCCTGGATTCAATATAGTCTGATTTTATATATGAAGAATAGGTGATAAGAGTTGTTATTCCTTACTTGGTATTTTGTTTTTCATAATCTTGGAAGTTACACAAAGCTTAAAATGCTGAAATAAAGGGTATTAATGGGCTGTGATTTATATCAATAAATCAGAGCCATGATCATAGTCTTTTGCAAGAAACATTAAGGACTTGCATTTTTTAAAGATTTACCACTCAAATTCTGATTTAATACCAGGATTCTAATAAGCTTTTGAGCTTTAATTCAAAATGACAATGAAAAATCAGAGGATCATGTAACTCAACTCAAAATTGGAACTTGGTGGCTGAAAATCTGTTAACCTTCTGCCATTTACACTGCTGATTCTCCCCAGTAACTGTTTGCCAATTGTGTTGCTTCTGACAGATGAGTATTTCACAAAATTTTATCCCATTCTCATAAAACTTTAAGGAAAAAGTATTTAGGGAAGATAAGTGTTCCATATGTGTTCTTTTACCAACTGGAATTTTTTTTTTTTTTTGGTCATATGTAAAAAATTAATCTTAGTCGGTAGAAATAATGATGATATAGAAACCTTACTAGACACGAAATAATGCACCTGATTTTTTTTCACAGAGAACTTCACAGGTTAACTGCATAGCAAACTAAAAATATTTAGAAGCTGTACTATGATCTGTGTGTGATAACTGATAAAATAATTCTGTGCTACTAATGCACCTATGAAGGAAGAGTCTTAAGTGAGATTGGGGTATTTTCATGAGATCATCAGGAAATCTTGATTTAAAAAAGGTATTAGTCATCCAGAACACTTCAAGATAGCTGACGGTAGCTGTAAAGGAAGGCAACTGAAATGGCTACCAAGAAAAGCTGTTAAAATGGTGGGTGAATTGGTGAAAATGAGCTTGGCAGACCATCGATAGGGCGGGGATAGAACAGGAGAGAATGGAGGTGCATTGTTCATGAAAAAAATAGACTGGTAATTGGAATATTTCTGCTGAAATAGAAAAAAGAAAGCAAGTAAGGGGAGTATATAGCCTGTGAGGATAAAAGAGTCCTCTTTCCTTTCCACCCTGGATTTACAAAACTTCATCTGGAATGGTGTGCCGGGTTTGGTATATCACACTTCAAGGAAGATGTTGACCATCCAGAAGAGAGCAAAGAGAATGATCCAGAGTCTACAAAGCCTGGTTTGCTAGGAAGGGCAGAAGGAACTGTTGGTATTTGCTCTACACTAGTGGGAGAGAGAGAAATCTTCAAGTATGTAAAAGGAAGCTTTGCACTTGTGTGATCCCTGTGTCTCCCTGATGCAATTAATACAGAACTGTTACATGCCTGTTGTGGCTGTGAAGAATAATAATGGGCTCAGTTTAAAGTGAGAAATAGTTTAGTTAGATATTGGGGAAAAAAAATCCAGTGGCAAAAATAATGACTTGGGAGGACTTTGACATCTTTTTGGTGTCAAATTTGTGTCAGTTTGGAAATCTTTAAAACCTTACATGGGTAAGAGTACCTGCGCAAGACGTGCCCATATCACTGCTGTGTATGTGGCAATAATTACATACAGCCTGCCCAACACCTCCAGCTTCTCTCTGCCCTAGACTTTCTGGATGTGGGTATAAGGAAGAAGAACAAGCACCACTTACTGGTAAGAAACTTTTTTTCTTTTTTGTTTATAAGAACATTCACACTGAGAAACTTAAAGCAGTGCTCCTGACAAATACAGTTTATCTGAAGAAAGATCCTTAAGGATGGGCAAAGGTTGTACATGCCATTTTGTCACACTTGTCAGGTTGAGTACCCAAAGGGGTGGATGCCAGTGTCTAATCACAGGTGCTGCTCATGCCTAGATGGAAGAGAATTGAGGGATCGCATCCTTGCTGCTTGGAAGAGGCGAGCCGGCTGTGTCAGAGAAATGCATTGGCCTCTTCCACAGTGGTACTGCGCTGTGAATTGGTAGCAGGCCCAACTGTTTCCTCATCAAGAACTGGAAAGGATTTGCAACGTGCCGGTGGGTCATTTAGAACTGGAAGGGTGTTTCACACCCAGCAGTCTGGCAGTGTAGGTTTTGGGATGAAGAATGTGAGCCAGTGTCCAGCATCAGCAGATCTAATCTCTGCAACCAGATGCTCAGAGATACCCGTGGAGGAGGGATCCTCGGGGTGGGCCAGGCCACACCCAGTCTTACTTCACGCTTGGCCCAGCCTAAGCTTTAGCTTTTGTGTTTGGCTGGAGGGAGGAAGGTGGCACGGGTAAGAGTCCGAGACCTTCAGGGCCTCTTGGGGACCCCTCCTGGGGTTGCTAGGTGTTTGGGGGATGATGAGACAACTGGCCCTTTTGGCAGTGAATCTAGCCTGTGGTGACTGAGGTCAGATGTGATGCTCACCAGAGAAGTGGTAATCCATAGACACGCTTTGTTTTCTCATCGTTCTGGTATCCACCACCAGAGCTAGTTTCTCTAAAACTCCCTGTCCATGAAAATGGAGCTCACTCTAGGCTTGAGATTTAAGCAACTTCTTCCAACTTTCGTTCTGGGACAGAATGCAGATTTCCTTTATGTAATGTTAATATTTGCCTGCTAGCAAAATAGTTTTTTCTTTCCTGGGCAGTTGTGAGCTCAAAGTGCCTTTTGCACTGTAACTTCATGCATGAAAAGCTTTCAGTCCTGGAGGGTCTGTGCTGTAGCTTCTGTACTGTGACTTGCACCTGAATGAGTCAAGATCTGAGTCTATTTTGAGCATCTTTGCATGTCCCTGCTGATGGGCGAGGCAGAATGCCATGGAAAGGGGCATTTGGGGCAGACCAGCCAGGGAGGGCAGTATTGCTGTACCACGCTGAAGACACAGTCCAAAGGCTCAGCTAAAGCATCAGAATTGTGGGGAATCACAGCCTGACAACACTGCCCAAGTGAATTAGTAGAGTATGATTGAGATGCTGTAAAGGTTAATAGCGCTCTAATTTAGGTTAGTTTAGCTCAAGAAGAAAGATTTAACAGCTGCTGTTCTGCAAAGTCCTGTAGATCTAACTGTTTGGACTATATTATTTTCAACTGCACAGCTGTCAGTGTACAAACTAATTAAGAAATAAGTTGTTTCAAGGAAGATTTTGCAATGTGACCTCTTTAGGAGATGGCAGGGTTTGGAAACAATAGAAACATTGCATGTTTGACTTTAAATGAGATTTCCTTTAGGCAGAACCAACACTGAGATTTTAGGGCAGCTTATGAAAAACAGGCACCAGAAAAATCAGTCAGTTAAATGTCACACAGCGACATTGCTGAAAGAATAGCTCCTGGTAACACAGCTTGAATGGCTAAAGTTGATAAAACCAGGATTTGAGATGTCACAGACTGTCCAGAATTAGTTGACTCTTGTAAGCCAGAAGGTGTGTTGTCACTGGTATCAGTAAAGCTGGATTTTTGTGGGGAAAAAAAACAAAAACAAAAACAAAACCCCGAAAAACAGCAGAAAATTCAAAAGCCTGTTAACGTGAAATTCTTCTGAAACGCAGCGTGTTTAATTCTGTGCTGCTCTCGTGACACTGAGCCCGGAGCGGTTCCCGACACAGGCGAGGGGCGCTCGCTAACCCGTGACTTGGCTGCCAGGGACCTGCGCAGGGGCCGGGGCTGCTCTGGCATCATCAGAGGCATTCCTGAGGGACAGCAGGATCGGCTTCTACTGAACTGGTGCCAAATCAGCCACAGACCATCATCTTTGATGTCAGGATCTGCAAAATCATTGAAACAAGGTTGGTTTTGACTACATCTGGCCCTCATGTGAACTTGGCTTTGATGTGGTCTCTCTCTTTAAAGGGCTAGTGAATTGGATTTTTGTTTGGATGTTGGAACTGTCCTTTTCATTATTCCCCTGCTGTTGATGGTTGGTCCATCAGGACTACGCATACTGTAAAACATCCACTGCTATCCTGGGCTTCTGGCACCAATCTCTAAGAAGCTGAGATTTTAGTAATGTCCTGAATTTGACAATTTCTCTAGTATTTCCAACTTTGCCCCTTTCACACTTCTCTGCATCTTACCAGGAGACCGATACCAGCGTTTAGGCAGTCCCTCTCAAAGAAAAGAAACACACAAGGAGAAGCAGGTCTTACCCCTGTTACTGGGCTCTGCAGTACTGCTCCAACAGGAGCAGGATGACTTACCGATACTTCTTGTCTACCAGGTAAAGTTTTTGGCTTCAGCTTAGTCCACGAATAAAGCAGCAGCGATGTAACCCTCCAGTCCACAACCCTCATAGAGGAGATACTCAGGAGGCCTCGTGCTGGTGGGCACAGTGGACTCTTCCTCCCCCTCATCTACAGGTCTGGCAGCATGAGCTGTAAGTCGAGTGGCTGAGCACGTATGTGCTGTGT